CTATAGTGCAGGGAAGAAGAATATGTGTATTCAACTTCAGGAAAGTACAATGCAACCTACTCTATTTATAGAAGAAATAATACTAACCAATTATCTAACAAACTAACAAGATAACAAACTAAAGAAGAGACTAGAAGGAACTAGAATAAACTGAAGTTGGAAGAAGGAGCTGAACACGTGAAGAAGAGCTGCTGGTTTGCTGGTGAACTGGCAATCAATTGAATCTGATTTGGGTTGTTGGACTGCTGGTCTGTTGGGCTGATTTATATTCCAACACTCCTCCCTCAAGATGGAACATCTTGAACTTGGAGAAGAGAATGGAGATAAAGAAATCTGAAGCTGTTGAAGGTGCTGCTGATTTGTTGAATCTGAAGTTGCTGAAGGTGATTTGTCGAATTTAGTGAGCACCATTGCTCTGAAACCGGGCTAAATAAAAAGAGATGGAGAAACCGAAAATCTGCCATTATAATTGCAGGAGTTCGAATGACATAAAAACATCATCAATGGCGGAATAACACATTGATGAAAATTACTGATGACATCCTCCGTTCTTGCCGCACTTGCAGGAATCAAAACCGGAGGCTCAGTGACTAAAAGCTCAGTAGCAGTTGGAATGGACATCAGCTGCTGAAACTGAGTGAAAAACATATCCGAACGAAATTCCCCCAATGGCAGACATACCGAGGGATCATATCGTCTATAGAGCAGAAGGATAATGGTGAATTCATTTGGAGTCCCGTAATTTTTCTTCCCAGTATCAATAATGTTCCTATTGCAGATGCATAGCTCTGCATAGTTTTGGAGAAGCTAGCAACAGAGAAGGCCATAGACAGATCCAATTGCAGTCTCTTGTGCTCTGGTATTTGCTATTGTGATCACTGCATGTCTACTTGTTACAAAACTGATGGCAATTGTGAGACTTGACCAGCACCTATTTTCTTTGTTAAACATCAAACCAAATAACACAGCTAGTCCCAAGGAAAGAGAACACTTGAATGCAAAAACGAAATGACAAAGAAGAAAATAACACAGAGAAGAAAATGCAGACGGAAGGAGCATTTTGGCAAACACATGGCGGACGAGAATGAAAGTAAAAGAGTTGTACGCAGAAGGGAGCATTTGCTCTGATACCATGATAAGAAAATAAAAGATAGAACCTGCTATAGTGCAGAGAAGAAGAATATGTGTATTCAACTTCAGGAAAGTACAATGCAACCTACTCTATTTATAGAAGAAATAATACTAATCAATTATCTAACAAACTAACAAGATAACAAACTAAAGAAGAGACTAGAAGGAACTAGAATAAACTGAAGCTGGAAGAAGGAGCTGAACACGTGAAGAAGAGCTGTTGGTTTGCTGGTGAACTGGCGATCAATTGAATCTGATTTGGGCTGTTGGGCTGCTGGTCTATTGGGCTGATTTATATTCCAACATAAGTTAAAGTCAACAAATAATTTTAATCAGAAATTTCACAAGACATAATTTTTCAACCATACATTCCATCGAAAACTTTTATCAAAATTTATTGAAATTTTGATTTTTATCTAAATCAAATAAGGGCAAACATGAAAACTCAAGTAAGTTTAAGCATAGAAGGAAGAATACGTATAATATGTTTTTTTATTTTTCCAGAAATAAGAAACATTAAAGTCTGAAAAAACCACTTATATTCTTTTGATATTTTTTAGTGTTTCAACAAATTCTTGATTAGAGGAAAACTGAAAAGATTCTGTGGTATTCTGCAACTGTAATGTTTACAGGTTTGTACTGTTCTTTATTCTGATTAATTAATTAGCTATCATGTGGGCTGTTTTAATGCACAAATGATTAATTATTAATTAATTAAATTGCCCAAAATGGTCAGAAATTGGAATCCAATGTCGATCATTTTTTCAATAATTAATTATCATTCATATAAAGCTAGAGCTTAAAGATTTTATTTAATAACTATACAAAAAAGTAATTTGTTTGCTAAATATTGTGATTGATTTTTCTTGAATGAACATAGAATAGAGACATGATGTGTGGCGATATGAGGGTGAAAAAAGAAAAGAAAGGGATGTAATTTCTCTCGCTTTTGGCATTGCGACCTCCGGAGGCTCGCACGACGAGCTATTAGCTCAGTGGTAGAGTATGAGGACTCTAAGCCACATAGATAGTGCAATGTGCTTATCCACGCATGACCATGAAATGTGGATCATTCGCGATACAGTAACATGGCATACTCCTATTCGAATCGTAGTTAAAACAAAATCATTCCTCAAAAGAATAGATGAGACTTTTCGGGTCAGATCCATTCGACCATGTTTTAGTTATAAAAAATGATCGTACATTCTCTTACTCAATTATATTATTGTATCGAGTTTATATTTTTATTAAAATAATTTAATATGTGGAAAGTAAAAGGGCAAGAGAAAAACTGGTGCAGGAAAACGTGCTTGCCTCGACTAACCCAATGTGGTCCAATTTCACTTTTTCATATTCCCATTTAGATCACTTTCTCTTCATTAAGCTTCACCTTTTGACTTCTTTTATTGACTTGCCAATTTATGTTCATCTTTTTATGCGAAAATTTGCCATCCGTAACTGAGTAAATGCAGTTGTTTATTTGTAGATAATGTTGTGCAACGAGTAGAGTCCAATCGAATCGAGTCATCAAGCTCAATAGTAGAAATATTTTTTTACTCACGCAGAACTACAAGTGATGCAAAGGACAGGAGTGATGTAGTCTTAGCTGATGAAATCGTTAGAATGCATTAGTTTGTTGCATTTGCCATATCAATATTTTTAACTATTTACAATGCAAGAACTCAACTTTCAAGTTGTTGCATTTGTCAAGCTAGCGCCCTATATTTGTGCCACGCTCAATTAAGGTTACAAATAAGTATAATATTATAAGGAGTAAAGAAAAAAAATCATCTTTCAAGATGACGAATAAATAGATGCAAAAAGAACTTGCATAATTTCAAAGCGAACAAATAACTTTCAATCAAGAGAACGGTCTTACCATAAAAAAATGATATGTTTAATATGTTGAACTGCATAATATCGAACAAAAATAAAGGAAAAAGAAAAATGTAAACATATAAGAGCTTAGTTGATGGATAAATAGGAAACAATAGATCACTACACTTGTACCAAAAGTAGGGCAAAGAAACTCCCAATGGTTTACAAGTACTCTTTTTTTTTTTTGATATCCAGGTATTACAACTTACACCAGATTATGTCCTGGACCACCCATCCCCAACCCCTCAGTGATGGGTGGAGGTTACCCGCGAGATATGCCCAAATTGACCAGGGTCCGTGCACCCTTTATACTCCTGACCTCAAGGGAGCCTTCCTTTATAGATATTACATCACCAAGCTGCTCCACCCAAATTGAGTATTACAACAATCAGCTGCTCCATCCAGAAATCGAACTCCCCACCCTGAGGTTGCAAGCCCAGCAATGCCCATCCTTTGCCAACTTGGATGTACCCTGGGGGGCCTGTTGCTCCACCCAAATTGAATATTACAACACTCAACTGCTCGATCCAGGAATCGAACTCCCCACCCTGAGGTTGCAAGCCCAGCAATGCCCATCATTTGTCAACTTGGATGTGCCCTGGGGGGCGGTTTACAAGTACTCTTAAATGACTCTTTTCTTGTTTTTGAAGTCATTTTGTCATAAATATACTTTCTAATTTTTGTTTGAAAACTAAGTCCTTATTTGAGCTTCATTTTAAGAGGAAAAAAATGCATTTTTAAATAGTGATTTTTGGAGAATGTGTGGTTAGAAATGAAGAAAAAGTTTTCAATTTAAGTATAATATTATTTTATTGGAGAATGTGTGGTTGAAAATGAGTTCTGAAAAAAGGAATTTTTGATAAAATTGGGCGCAAACAAGGGCTAAATTTATAGCGCAATTCATGTAGTTGATAGTGTAATAATGTAGAGTAATGTTATTCATCTCCAGTGGGAATGAAAACACAGTTTATGTGGCATTAACGTGACATTAAATGATATGTGAAATTAAATAAGTCATTTAATTTCACATTTCATTTAACCTATCATTTAATGCCACATAAACTGTATTTTCATCCAAGTGGGGATGAATATCATTACTCAATAATGTAACGATGAAAAAGAGACACAAAGTATCTCAGTTCTTTCACCATCTATTCTCAATCTTTTTACACGTATGAGACTATATTTTTACATTTAGATATTTTGTACATCATGCATAACATTTCTCTCACAAATGTGGGGGCTCCGCAATTTAAAAATTTATGGGCTCCACACATTTTTGTGAGAGGAGTGTCAAAGTTAATGTACACAAAAGAGACTGACAATCGATAATCATGGGGATTTATTCATGCTATTCACTATGACAGTCGATAATCATCCGTCTACGTGACATTGAGATCATTGTAGCATTGTTTGATATGAAAAACTCGAGAATTTTCCTATTATACCTTAAAAATTGGAAAAAAATAAAAAATAAAAATAAAAACAGTAAAAAGACAACAGTGGCATTGACGATATAAATCTCCACTTTCACGTCCCATTCCATAGAGCAAAGAAGATATATTTACAGTACCAACTATCCCTTCTATCTACGCAAAGAAATTATGGAAGAGGACTTCGAAAATCCCACTTCCGCCGCGTCGGAACCTATAAACACCACCTTCGCCGCCACCCCTCTAGAATATACCGATGACATTGACAGTTGTTGTTCCACGCCTTATGTTAGTGCACCGTCGAGCCCCGGCCGCGGCACACCCCTTGGAGGGTTCTACTATAGCGCCCCAGCGAGCCCTATGCATTTCGTGCTTTCCAGTGCTAGCATTTCTTCGTATGGGGTTGAATCGTCGACGGCGGCGTGTTCGTTTGAGTTTGATTTCTCGGCGCCACTGGCTGACGACGGCGTACCGCCGGGATCCATGAGCTCTGCCGATGAATTGTTCCTTAACGGCCAGATCCGACCCATGAAGCTCTCTAGCCATCTCAGGAGGCCCCAGGTTTTGGCCCCTTTGATTGACATGGATGAATCTGATGACGTTGAACAGTCCGAGCTCAATGATAAGGAGAAATTTGTTCGCGGAAGGGAATCGAAATTGCGGGCTGGATCATTGCGGAGGAGGACTAGATCTATGTCCCCTTTGAGAACGACGTCGTTGTTAGATCATGAAAATGACAATACACAGGATGGCGATGAGATAGCGAGGGAAAATGAAGAGTGTAAGAACATAGAAGAGGCAGCGGGTTCGAAAGATGCGACGCCGTGTGGATCTGGATCTTCCTCGAGGTCTTCTTCAATTGGGAGGAGCTCAAGGAGATGGGTTTTCTTGAAGGAGTTCTTATACAGGAGCAAAAGTGAAGGTAGAAACAATGGGCATAAATTTTGGGGCTCCTTATCATTTTCACCTGTCAAAGATAAGAAATTTGAGAAGCCCAATTCCAATCCTAAAATCTCATCAACTGATAAAGCAAATTCAGCACCAGAAGTAGTAAATTCCAACACCGGAGCCACAAAAAAAGCGACAAAAGTGGTGAAAAATAGGGCAGTAAATGGGATTGGTAAAAGAAGGGTGCCACCATCACCTCATGAATTGCATTACACTGCAAATAGGGCACAAGCAGAGGAGATGAGGAAGAAGACATTTCTTCCATATAGACAAGGTTTGTTGGGCTGTTTGGGATTCAGTTCAAAGGGCTATGGAGCCATGAGTGGTTTTGCTAGAGCTTTGAACTCAGTGTCATCAAGGTAAAAAAAAATTGAAAAATTTCAAGAAAATGTGTATTAGTTTCTTGAACATGGGGTGGTTCCAAGCAGTGGATTTGTATAGAATATATTTTATTTTCTAAATTTTTTTCATGTTTTTCAGTGCTTCTGTTTTATCCATTTACGTCTTTGCATTAATTGATTAGGGATTATTATTATCTTTGCATGGAAAAACAGAAGTTGCCAATCATGGAAACTAAAGCAAAGTTTGTTTCATTTCATCCCCTTTTGCTTTTGCTTGCGTAGTAAAACAGTGTTCGTTAGATCCACCCGCACCTCTCTCTCTCTCTCACTCATATGTTTATCAGGTTATGTCATATTCACAGACAGGTGGTGTGCACAATTGATTGAAGCTATGATTTCTTGGCCAGACGTGTTAGTTGTGGGCTCTGTCGAGTAAGGTTGAATAGGGTTCCATTAATGGAAAATTGCACAGCGGTCCCATAATTAGTAGCAAACTGATTCTCAACCTTTAAATCGAATAATAAACTATTAAATCGTCATGTGCGCTTCACGGATTCAACTTTAGGAAGTTATATTTTATTAACCAAATATGGGGGTTAATTGACGATTTTAGTAAGATTTGGACAGTTTCTATTAGGATTGATCGTCTAATTCTAACGAAAGATTGATTATTAACCTCCTTTTTTTCAAGATTAAAGATTAATTTGTTTCTTGAACAATAGATTGAGGACTAGTGGTGCAATTTTTCTAAAAGGTATAAACGATGTATAGCAAGTTACCAACATTAGAGCTTGTTTGAGAGAGATTTTAATCCAATTAAAATTGAAAATACAATCGTTATTGGGTCTCACTCGTCTAATAAAAGTCAACAATAACGGCTAGTTTTTCAATTTTAGTCCGATTTTAATCTCTACCAAACAAGCTCTAGTAACCACAGGGAATAATAAGATAATAATATTCAGTATTTTATGCTTCCAAAAGATTCCATAAATATTCACTCTAAAATGTAATTTGGGACCACTTCCAAATCTTGTCATATCTAGGGTTGTTAAATGAGTCGGATTGAGCACTTGATTTGGTCCATCTCGCGAGCCGGTTTGCTTCATTGAAGTGTAGTTCGACACGCTCGACACTCATCCTTCGCAGATCGTCAATTATTATTATTATTTTTGAATTTGAACAAAAAGCATAAGTGACTCTCAAGTTGGCTTGCACGAATGTTTTGCTGCTTGACTTGCGTCCTCAACTCACAAAAGAGTACACATTAAGATAAACAAGTACACTCTTCAATTGTCTTAAAGTTAGCCTCGAGGAGTAAATTTTAGTGAGTCGAGACGTTAAATCAAAATATAGATTTCAAGGTGTTTAATGAAAGTCTTTGACGGAGTCCCAAACAACGTTTTAAAACAATGATTGCTATTATTTTGAAATAATATCTCATGCTAGATTCTTGAACCAATGATTTGATCTCCACGCCACATGCTGGGGAATAGTCCATTTGCTAGGTGTGTATGAGGCCCCAATAGTCATACAAATTAAAAAAAAGGACTTCTATGTGACCAACAATGTCTCTTTTTAGTTTTATCAATTGTGACCTTTTTGTTGGAATCTGCATTGATCTATCCTCACAATTGCAAATTTATGGTATTTAGGGTTTTGGGATAAGATTAGGATGGACCCTAATTGTATTTGGTTATATATGCTGATTTGCTAAAAGACAGCGAAGAAAAAGTTTTGGGAACTTCTCTACTTTGCCTTGTAGTGCTTTTAGTTATTGGTGTAAATTAATCTCGATCGGAGATGGTACTACTCATATATTTCCTGAGGACCTTATTTTTGTAACTTGTTCATTGCGTTTTGGAATGTAGAATGAATAGTAACATACACTATACGAGTCTTACACGTGCGAGGCGTTGCCTTAATTGAAGAAATTTTAGTTTTTGGAGTGGACCACTTTGTAGTTTTTTATTTTTTTCGTAAAGATATATCAAACTAATAGAAAATGAATCAAGCTATACGTACAGGGGGATTTTGCCAGGCTTTGTACCTGTATGTACTTGTCAATTTTTCATTGACAGTTGACCAAAAAAAATTGCAAAAATCGAGGGTTGTGTTAAACATTTCGGCAAAAAAACCCTTGTACGAAGGGCTTTTCACATAGAAAATAATAGTATCCAACCAGCTTACCAAAAAATACGAGTCATAAATATCCACATCAAGTGACTTAAAATGCGGGTAAACTAATTTGGATAAAGCCCTGCGTACAAGGCAGTTTTTTCACAGAAGCCTTACAGGCCCCACCCATTGTATTAAAAAAAAAAAATGGCCCCCATCCCCATGTGTGTAATCTGGTAGGGGCTTGTGAAGCATGTCATTATACTTGTAGCAAAACCCAACTAATTTTGTACTTCTAAGTTCTAACACGAATTTGGGACCATTTGACATGATTTTTGCTTTTACTTATTGTAGAAGAGTTTTTTGATGATGCTATCTTGAATTTGTTTTCTTTAAAAGTTCTTCTAATCCGACAAAATGTTTTTAAAAAATTATCCAAACTTATTTAAAATTAGTGTCTTAATACAATTTTTTATTCAACTAATTTGAGATCTGTGTCAAAATCATGTGCATTGATTTGACAATGTTCGTGAGTTCGATAAATCATGAATTCCAAATTTAATTTAAAAAATGAATGTACACGTAACAACTTTGATCTTAATAACTTTTGAAAACCGTACCAAACAATCCTCTGTCACTAAACATAGAAGTGTGGAGGAAATAGGCATAGCTTCCTTTGTCATGGGTCGCACCGTCTCCTTGACACTGACATAAAGGAGTTCGAGATTTATGGGACATTGTGTTGATAGTTGTTACTTGTCGTGTCACTTGTTAGTCTTAGGAATTGCTTCATTCTTTTCTTTTTAAATATTCTCTCTTTTTTCTATGGGAATTTAAATCCATTTTTAACTCCATTGTTATAAATTCCTATTTGTTTTATTTATGGATCGATCACCCCCCAAGTTTCAAAAAAATTGTACCAAAACAGCAAAACTCCTTTTTCTAATTTTTTTTTCTCCATTTAATTTCTTCTACTTTCACCTTTTGTTTTCTCAAATCCAACACCACTCGAAACATAGTAAACACAAAATCATAGCACAAACATCGTATGACACTGCTAGGTTTTCATGATCGCACCTGCAATTCTTAGCAAATATAAAGAGATCTTTCACCCCCAGGTTTAAGGGAAGGACTACAATATCGATCTCCTGTCCTCGCCCGACCCTATTCACGCAAAATATTGCCCATTCAAGAGTCAAATATCCAATAAGAAGGTCGACATTGACAACGATAAGCCATCAATGTCTTAACCAACAATACCACAGTACTTATAACAAGGTTGTCTAATCTTTCGCAGATGAAACATAATGAAGAATACATAACTGTCCTCTATAACCAAGAATCTTGCATTGATTATCACCAAAAAGATGATGTAATCATAACAAAGTCCCTAGGCCTTGTAACATTAATCCTACCGGTGGAAACTAAATTAGTTTTTTCTTGTTGTAAATGGAAGCAAAGTACTACCATTCTTTTGATTGCGAAGGTGATGCAAAATGTGCAACAGAAGGAAATTGGGAGCGTAAGAAGATGGATCCACTACAACAAGGGAAGAACCGCGCCCACAAGTTAAACGTGGATACCATATTTGTCAATAAAAGGCGATTTCTCACTGGTCAGAAGCAAAGGTTGAAAGAATATTCTTCTTCAAAGTGAAATCATCAGCCTTCGCCGGGGCAATTGACTGCAAGAAATATCAGAATCTCTCAAAAGATTTTCCACATTTGTAAAAGTACATACTAACATCAAATCCAAGGATTTAATCTTGTTAAATTTCATTTATTACCAACATTCCACATTTTTAGGATTTTTTTTTTTGGCCTTCTCATTTTTTTTTTTGCATTTTCCTGACTTTTCCTAGTTTTTTTTTTTTTTTTGACAAACAAACAAAATTAATTTCCAGCTAAAAATAATATTTTCTAACCCTCATTTAACTACGTTTACAACCCAAACAAATATGCCTCCAAAATATCAACTAAAAAATCCAAACAGAAAGGGGAAAAAAAAATTCTTATTTAGAAGCTGATATAACTAAGAGGCATGTCTGACAAAGCTCTTTAACTTTTATAAGCTAGTCAAATATACTTTTTATCCACACATTTTGTAGAACCCACAACCTATTATCCACACATTCTGTGGGATCCAAAACACCAAAACTAATAAGCACTACAAAACAAGCACTGAGCAAATCAGCTTTCAGTTTGTTTGGAAGAAATTATAAGTTGTCGAAACTATAAATTGATTTAATGAATTGTGGATAAGGTCCTATGAAACGTGTGGTTAACATCAAAGTTTAACTATGACCTTATTATAATCAGATTATAATTTAAGCCACACAGCACAAAAATTGAGATCATAATTCAGAAATTAGATGAATATATGATTCCACCTTGTAGTGATGACATAATATACTCGAATGTCCTAGCCAAAAAATGGAAAACAAGTAATCGAAGAATTAAGTGAAGGCCATCAGGTGATTATTTTGGGAGTTCGTTCATACATCAAAAGATAATCAACTGAAAACTGATTATTAACTCATATACAGTTAGGCAGACAGCGGTGCAAATTAATAAGATGATTTCTATTTTTGGATTAGAAAGAACATTATACAACAAGTGTAGCTTAAAAAACAATAGACAAAAGGGTACGCAATAGTTTACCTTGGCAAGCATGCGTTCCAACCGCTGAATCTCATTCTTAGCATATTCAGAACCTCTTTCCATGCAGCTCTTGGCAGCTTTCACATAGATTTTCCCATATCTAAAGAAATTTAAAGAAGAGAAAATGGGTATTAAAATGGGCAAGCAAGATTGCAACTTAGACCAACTACCCTAATTACAATAAGGTCCAGTTAGTAATATGAATGATGGAAGTACGACAAGAATTTCATTACAACCTTGCATTGGATCCCTTTAGTTTCTCGGCTTCCGCCTCCAATCGACTGAATACAGCTTTTTTATCCTCACTTGATGCACTTACAAACTCTTTCACCAAGCTATCAAGGGCCTCAACTATACCGGCCTAGGATGATTAAATGGAAAGTTAGAAGCCAGTAAAAAGAAACCATGGAGAAAATATATGTTAGTTTAGAAACAAACCTTATCAGTGAATTGTCCTTTTCCGTCACGGCTAGTTCCACACTTCCCATTGATGAAACTTACAAATTCATCCAAGTCTCGTCCACCATCGTAATCTTCACCAGCCTTATTGTTCTTTGGGAAGAATTTCAATGTAGGAAAACCACTTACGCCATACCTGCTCAGCAGTAGATATGTATATCATGCCCTGTGTTTCTTTTTCTTTCCTTTCGTGTCTAATTAGGTTTAGGGAAATCAGTTCTGGAATGTATCTATAGCACTTATTAACTGAACTATCCAGCAGGCTCCGAAAGTGGGCGTGCATTGATGATACAACAGAAGAAAAAACCTATTTTTACTACTTACTTCTCTGCAATGTCCTTGTACTTGTCAGCATCCATATTAGCAATGACCACATCATCTTCCAGCTTGAATGCTGTAGCTAGCTTTTCATAAATCTAAAAAATAGAAGCAAAAGACAGATATTTTACAATAATTTATTCGCCATTCATTGGAGTCTCATCGATATGCCAGTGATTTACTTACAGGAGCAAGGCTTTTGCAATGACCACACCTGGGAAAAAAAATACAGTCAATCAGAAATGACAAAATCATATTAACACATTTTACAATTAACATAAATGATCACAAAGAGAACTCTTAGAAACCAGTGACTTTGGCATCTCAAATTCAAGTACAACAGCAGCATAGAAAGAAATATTATATGTAAACCTACCAGGGTGCATAGAATTCAACAAGGACGTCCTTTGTTTCATCAAGAACAATCTCATCAAAGTTGTCTGGAGAGAGAACCACAACACTCGAAGGAATTACAGCTATCTTGACATTTGTCCCTGAAAACAAAACTGCATTTGTAAGAGAACAAGGCGAGAAACATCCACTTAGTTGTGATTTTGAAACATATTTGGGCAAGAATGGCAACTAATGAAAACTAGTGTTACAATATGACGATGGCATTGAGGCACGGGAAATGTGTATTTCCCCTTCACACAACAATCAAGTTTTTTCATTTTCCTTTTCAAAAGATGTGTTTATACAATGGTGTAAAGGAAGAATCTCCTAGACGTAAAGCCTTTTTCAAAAAGGAGGAAAAAATCAATATCGTGTAAATACTTCAAATGTAAATAACTCATTGTGCATACTGCCTGCACAGTCAATCTTGGATCATAAATATATGAGCAACCAAAAAGTCTTACCTGCTTCACTGTTTACAAATTCAGTAAGGGCTTCAGCAGTTCTTGCACTCTCACACCTAAGAAATGAAAGCTCAATTAATGTGAAATGCACTTTTCCAAGGACTTGAATGGACAAAAATTTATGCAAAAAATATATGTGTTTATAATCTCATATGATGCTTCGAATATTATGAGGACAGAAGAAAATGAAGGAAGAAACAAGTTTTCTAGAAGAGCCTAAACTTACTTTTTGGGCTCCAAAGACCCCTTAGGAAACCACTGGATGGTGGGATATCCAGAAACTCCATATTTACTGCACAGACTCTTGTGCTCATCACAATCAACCTACAATAGAATGATTTAATAAAATAATAATATTTAACACTTTAAAGTCATAAATATTTATCAATCAACCTACATTGGTTAATGGCAAATCAATGCCTTGAGACACCCTCATTGGCAACCCATGAAATAATGCCCTAATTCAACAAGATAACTATTCTTAACTAATCTAACCTTTCCCAATTTTCCGAATAAAATATAAACGTACCGTTAAGCAAACTTGGGACAGAAAACACAAACAAATAACCACACAACATACTCATAGATGACTACTTATTATTCCCTTGTGAGCATCTCAATCAAGCCAAACTCAAGCATGATAAACAATTATGCAATGATTTAACATCAGTTAAAAAATCAAGAAACAACTAAAAAAGGATGGTAAATCAGATAGCATAGTCCATAAAACAAGTAGCTGATACATTGATCCTGTAACTAGGACTTTCTCCAACTTTTTAAAGACCAGAATAATCATTTGATGATTTTACCCAACAGAGCTACACTATAGATAAGTTCTAAGAGACCTATAATTATAAAGTTAAAAAACAGGTTCTATGGAACCATTATTAGACTAGATATACTTTATCTTACTTGAGTTTGGGACATCAGAAGACACCTATCAAAAAAAGTTTGGGTACTGCGTGGTAGAAAAAAATCTTAATTGATATAATATATTTAATGAAATAAGAACTGAGGTTAAACATTGGTAAGTAGATATAGCCCCATTCAGGATCAATTAAAAGAATGATGTTTTAGATAGCTAAGGAATGTAATACATAGACAAATCTTCAATTCACAAGAGCAATGCATTCTTAGTCAAGCATGGTGTGAAGTTCCATTTCCTAGAAAATTACAGTGGTTGGAAAAACAGAATCTTTCCAGGAACATTTCAAGAACACAACTAATAACTTACACACATGCCAAATTTTAAAAAGGCTAACCTTGCCAATCAAAACAGATTTAGCCTTCTTGAAACTCGCACCAAGCTTTTCATACTCTGGAGCAAGCTTTTTACAGTGCCCACACCTGCATAGGAACACTATATCACATATACCTTCAATTCATCTACACCTACACGGAAGCAACAAGAATTCCGACAATTTCAACAAACTATCGCAACTAATATTTATTACTTCCCTCATTCCCTCAGCACGCAAGATTTATATAATTAAAAGGGTGAAAATTTTCGTCTCATTCATAACAAAATGAACCGGTAGAGAAAAACAAACACTCTAAATTACTTCAAAAATAGAACCGAACAGTTAAGATACAAAATAAAAGGTTATATAGAGAAATGATTAAAACTCGATAAAACTCAGATCTAGATCGATCGAATAGAGCTCAGATATGAAAGATCTAGTAAAAAAACAAATAACTGAATAACGAACAATCCAACCAGATATATAGACACACATATAAATGAATTAAAATTCATCGAAACCAGTATTCGTAAACAGGAAGTGGTTCATACCATGGTGCGTAAAACTCGACCAAAGCGCCGCGATCTTGACCCACCTCTTTCTCGAAGTTGTCCTCAGTGAGTACTACGACCTCATCCGCAAAGGCCGACGCGAACAAGAACAACGCTAAGGTACCAAATGCAATGCAAATCCACGATCTCGACATTCCCGTCAATAGTTGTGCTTTCCTTTGGATTGTTTAACCTTATATAGAAAAGCAGGGAAGAAAGAAACTCGTGGATCGTGGACTTTTTCCAATCTCATTTTTCTAAATTTTAAGTAAACTTTAATTTCTTCCAATCCAGTTACTAACTTTAGTTTCATTTTAAATTGCATCAGTTAGAATCGGTTAACTACCGTTCCCAATTTAATAGAAATTGCATAGTTGATAGTCACGTCGTAAATTGATCTGATTTTTCTTGTATTCACGACATGACTTGTTAAAAATTAACGTAATAAATTTTCTCATCTATTGCTTCGTTTATATACTTATTTTTAAAAATAATATTATTACTTTTAACACACTATAGATTTTAAATAATAAGATTTAGAGAGGATTCGAGGAAGGAAGGGTTATGATATTTTGCTGACAGAGCGGTGAAATTTGAAATCAAAATTGAAGTTGAGTAATACATCCAATTTAAACTAAATTGAAATCAATTATATAATTTGGACAAATTAAAGTTTATATAATAGTTAAAAAGTCCCATAGATATATTTGACAAAGTCAAAAATCAAGAAACGTTTTATGTCGTTTTGGGACGCACCAATTGACGTATTAATAGTCTCAATGTGACATGGATCCACCAATAATATAAAGCCATGTGTAAGTTAGTTGGATGTAGCAATAAAATAAAGGATAATTGCAACAACGGTACCAAACATTTCATTTACTAACAGACTTTGCCCTAATATTTTATTTGTGCCATCCATGGTACCAAACATTTCAAAAACTCGTAACCGGAATCCAATTTAACAAAAAACGGTTAGTTTTACCGCATGTTGACCTATTAATTGACCTTGATCATTTTGATTAATTTGACAAGGTTAAAATGATTTTTCAACAAAAAACACAATTATAATATATTAATAATTAAATAAGAAAATCAAACACACCACCCACCACCTCCCCTTCTTCCCCAAACCCCTTACCCTAAAATCATCGACGACTGTTGTCGGCACCACCGTTGCCGCCACCACCACCACCGCATGTTGATGCCACCACTTCTTCCACCACTGCTCCACCGCTCACCAATAGCACAAATTGTGGTTTCTATCATCATTTCTAAATCCACCAATTTTAGTAATTAATTCTATCCATTTGTGGACATGATGATTTTATGAACTTCATTATTATGTTCATGGCTAGTGAACTGCATTATATAATGAAATAGGACATTTTCTTTAAGAACAAGGTTGTTAGAGCATCTTCAAGATACTCTTTATTTTTAAAGAACATCTTAATCATGCTAGAGAGCATTTTTAAATTTAAAGAGTAAAATTTTTATACATTTCAAAAGGGTTGTTAGTGTACCCCCGTTTGTCTACCATTTTTCAAAAAATTGTTTTCTACAATAATCAATCTCTACTACACATTCAAATAATAAAATATTCTATACATAAACCGATAAAGTTTCTTTCAATTTCAACCACACATTTTTCAAAAAATACTATTCATTACACCATTTTCTTCTCAATAATGGTTGACAAACATGCACTTATTTTTTTCCCAACTACCATTTATTGTTTTTCCATCTATTTTCAATTAATATATATTTTATTAGATGCCAATTGTCAAAATAATCAATATAAGCAATTACATGCTAGGAGCAACTTTTTGTTCAATAGTGCACAAATTACGATATTATGACGTAGGCAACGAAATGTTAAAGAAACAACTTTCTGTAGAATTATTTTTTGAAGTGTCTAGTAAATTATTTTACATGATTAATAACAACGGTTGGATAGAGATATGTGCCCACCATCTATTTCAAGTAGATCAAAGGATAAAAGAGGCAAGTGTCCTCATTCATAAACATAGGTAAATTGCGTGAAGGACAATTAAGGTTGGGGGAGGCATTCGCCATGGTGAAGCTACGTTATCAAGACAAGATTTGAGTGTTTTCCAATTTGGAAAATTTCTAGTGCTCATTTCCTGACCACCACTCTTCAACACCACCCAACAAACTCCTCAAATGCAATTACAAACAAATCAATATTGCCCTAAAATTTCCATCCATTTTGATCCAATTAGTTCTTCATAGCACCTATAAGAATGTACTTATCACAATATGTTAAAGGAAATTGTCTAAAATTCATAATATATTTATAAGATTAAAAAAATTGAGATTTTGAATCACATTACAAGACTATCAACAACATAGCGACACACTCAAAAGTAGAAGATAATTGACTAGAAAAATTGTTACTCTTATAAATTACGTGGCATCGACTATTCATTGGATTTGACTTATTAAACTAAACAATTTGTATCTTGGGCTCGGTCCATTACCCATGCGGCCCATTTACGTTTTCCTATATATGTGGTTCCATTTACAATCAAGCTACATTTTTTAACTGTATCCAAATTTCCTCTCCCACTTTTGCACTCATCATCGGAGTGCAAACGGTCGCTGGACCTTTTTATCACTTTGCCTCCTGACGGGGTGTTCCAGTGTGTAGGTGACATTTACGTGGAGGGGAGGTGGAAGGGATTCTGTTTGCGCATTTTTTGAAGTCAACAGATTGACGCCATCTGTGGGAAACAGTACATTAACCATGTTATTACCACATCCCAAAGGCTATCGGAAGAGAGGTATTTTTTCGGGCGGTTCTCTACTAAAAAATAGCAAAGACAGCAACCAAAGAATGAAGGTCTACGGAGAATAATTTTTCGGCAATCAGAAGAATTTACCCTTGGTCAGCCACCAAGTAGAATAAAATGGCTATCACTAGAAAAAGGTTGAAGGAACCTAGATTGAAAAATTCGCCATGAAAATGGCTATTTTTAGTTAAAAGAGGAAGAAAAATGCAAAAGGGGAAACTTTTCTGTCTACTGGAAGCAATTTTTTCCCATGAAGTTTTTTTACATCGAAGTTGAAGAATCTTTCCAAGCAATTTCTTGTACAAAACAAAATTGAAAGAGCAAGTCATGAAAGTGGCTATTTGTGGTAGAAAATTGCAGACAAAAGCAATTTAGAAGATGGAGTTTTCCGTTGTAGATTCCACTAACAAAGGAATGCCATTATTTTTCTTCAAAATTTAGCAACTACTGAGTTTCAAGAGAAAGGCCTTCCACCTCACATTCTATATTTTACAAACTATTTTTGCCCAGCAAGTCCCACCACAAAATCTAGAGTCTCTCCTACAAAGCTTTGATGTACAAGGAGAAATAAATGCAATTTTTTGACAGCCAACCATCTCCTTCGAGGCCGGCTCACCTCTTTAAAAAAAATTGTGAAGCACCCACAGCCCACCATAGCTTCCGGTGACAACTTTTCACTCCATAAATGAGATTTTATTGCCTTCGACCGTCGTAGAACCACAATCATCGACAGAGTAACAACCACTATTAAGGCAGCTTTGCATTTCACCATCTCTGGCAAAGGTCGTTGAGGTAGTCATAGGCACTAGTAGCATCCCGAAATTAACCAGTGACCGGCGATGAGTACTTGCTTTTAATCACCGCATCAACATTAATTTTGATGGAGATGAGTTACTAATGTTGGAGTGTTCAAACAAAAGCTTTCACTGTAAACATGTACTTTTGCTTGCTTTGTGTGCCGGTCAGAAGCTAATTGTCAATCAAAAATTTGGATGACTAGTTTGGTCTTCTAGTTGGGTCTTCAGTTTATTGGGCCTAAATTATTCTTTTGGTCTAAAGTGCTCCATCGATTTACCCTCTTGAATGGACTACATTTTATTTTGGGCCTTCTACAATGATCTTCATTCAGCTTAATCGTTTGGTTTGCGTTTACTCTGCTTGGGCCGTCTCTTCAAGCCAGAAAAAAGGGAAAAGTTCATGGTTCAGGGATTTACTTTGAGGAAATCAAAAATCAGGTCCCAAAGTTTAAAATTGCAAAAATCAGGTTTTTTTCATGAATTAATTAATTATATTTTACAATTATTATATTAAATTAAATATTTAACTGTAATATAATATAATTAACACATCCCACCCCACTTCCACCACCCCAACTGCTCCGACGACTACTTTCCGGCGGCACTTAATTCCGACGACTATTCCGATGACCGTTCGCCGACGCTTAATTTAGATATTCCGAGGTCACAGATAACGTATTAAGGTCACAGTTAGCTTAATTCAGATAACTGCTCCAATTTCGAGGTCACAGATATCTTATTAAGGTCACAATTAACTTACTTAGTCACTCATCAAAAAAATTATAAGGTCACAGATATCTTATTAAAGTCNCGAGATCACAGATATCTTATTAAGGTCACAGTTACGAGGTCACAGATATCTTATTAAGGTCACAGTTAGCTTAATTTAGATGACTACTCCGATTCCGAGGTCACATATATCTTATTAAGGTCACAGTTAGCTTAATTTCGAGGTCACAGATATCTTTAAAAAAAATACAGCTAACTTCATTAGTCACAATAATAATTAGGTCACAGATACCAAAAAAAACGATCGCCGTTGTTGACCCCACCACAACAATAACAAAATACGACCACCACCGCACGGAGCCACTACCACCGCCCAAAACATACCGCCATAGATCTACCACAACCACGCATCCCAGATCTGCGACATTTTTCAAAACCAAACAACCATCCCCGCCGACAACACAGATCTTCACACCACAACCACCACCGAACAAAAAATCCCAACCCGCCACTGTCCCATTTTTAATCCCAAAATCCACAGCTGAGCCAAACACCCATCCCAGCAGCCCCATCAGTTCACAGCAGCCCCATCAATTCGCAGCAGCGTCGACGCCGACAGCAGCGTCGACGCTGCTACGCTGCTCACAGCAGCGTCTGTGAGCAGCGTCGAAGCTGCTGTCGCTGCTCACACAGCAGCGTTGATGCGCCGACAGAGTAGGAGGGAGGAGGAGAAGGTAGGGAGAAGGGGAGGAGGCGGCGGGGCGGCAACGATGAGAGTGAGAGTGAGAGAGAGAGAGACGGTTGGGTTGGGTTGGG